AGGAGAGGGCGTGCCCCAGAGGAGAGGGCGTGCCCCAGAGGAGAGGGTGTGCCCCAGAGGAGAGGGCGTGCCCCAAAGGAGAGGGCATGCCCCAGAGGAGAGGGCGTGCCCCAGAGGCCATCTTAGCACCAACATAACCATTTTTCCCCACTGTGGAGTGAGCTGCTGGTGGAGAATCAGTTTTATTTGGCGGTTCCTCAGACTGAAGAAGTTCTTTGGATGATGGACGAAACATCTCAGCACAAAAAAATAAACCATCCAGATGAGCTGACTGAACATTGTTGGATAGCAAAGTTATTACTCAGTGCACGTTGGCTGTAGAGAGACCACAGATTGACACTTCTTTTGACGAACAGTGTCAATCAAAAATGGGGCGGGTCTACGCAGCCATTTTAACATCATAGTACTTAATTAAAACAAAGTTAGTGCTACTTTTATCTCCCACTCTGCTACAGTCGGCTTTTAGGTAACCAATTGCTTGTTTTAACTTTTAGCTAGCCTCATGCTACTTTGAACTTCTATTTTGCAACTTTTTATTTTTTGCTTTAATCAGCTTTTTGCTACTTTTAAACAACTTTTTGCCTATTTTTAACAACGTTTTAGCTTCGTCGGCTTATTTCAGCAGTCACTCTGCACTGAATTTTACAAAAAATGAACCAAAACTGAGTGATAAATTTAAAATAACGTTTAAATATTTGCGAAGATGAACTCTGCTGTTTCTGGCGACACAAGACAAATCTGCAGATTAAAAGTCGTAGATTCAAGATTTAATCTGGTTTTGATTTGCCGAGCACGTTTAAATTCCAAACTCGACACATTGCTTTGATTCTTATTAGTTTACTGCGTTTAACGAACACGACAGCCTTTAAAAATCAGGCCTAAAATTTACTGTTCATAAACTCACTGCTCTGCTTTTCACTGACTTTGTTTTAAATTAACAACAGAGACACAAAATCTGTTTTTCCTCTGACGGTTTAAACGTTTTTCTTGACAGACGGGTGACACGAGGGGAAAGGGGAGAATACTGAGGGAAAAGCGTGGATAAGTGTGCTCACCGTGTGTTGGATGTGTTGAGAAGACGACGTCCCTCTGCGTTGCTGGAAGCGAAAGAAGAGGCGGTGACGATGAAAAGGAGGAGAGCAGGAGAAAAGAGAACAGAGGAAGTAACGGAGAGTTAATTAAACAAACAGACTCCCTAATGGATAAACACAACTACTTCCTACAGCAATGTCCTTTTTTTTGTTTCCTCTGAGCTGAAATTCGGCTGCGCTCCAGATGAACCAATGAGCTCCAACTGATCTGAGGGTTTGGCTTCGCAGAAGGAATTCAGCTTTCAGGAAACCATACGGTGGTTTGGGGGGAATCATACTTTCTAACTGTGGATAGCCTCGGTGGGGAAAACTTGTCTCGTATATATATATATATATATATATATATATATATATATATATAATAATAAAAAAGTACTCGAGGAAAAGAAACAAGTAAAAGAAGGAAACTTACCAGATCATTGGAGGGAGCTGGGATGCAAGCAGAGGTCAGCTGGAATCACAAAAACAGCCGAGCGTTAAAACACGACCAATTTACACAAACGGAACCACCGATGGGTCAAAGCTGAGAAATTTATGAAACAACTGCTCTAAGGAATTAAATTAAGGGAATAAATCACCAGCTTTTATAAATATCTGAAGCTTAGACAAATGTTTTAATGGTTTTCTTTGGATATTTGCTAATGAGAATACGGTTAGCTTCAATGAGCTAAGTTACATTTCTGGCTAACAAAAAAAAAAGTGACTTGTTTTAAAAAAAAAGTTTTTGCCATAATTAAGATTTTAAAAAAGGGACACCATCTAGCAAACCTAGTAGCTAAAATAATGAGAAACTAAAATAACCCATAATTTTCCTAATCTACATTAAATAAAAGCTTTTTTTTTTTTAACAAATATGCATTCAATATAATAATAAATTTTTCCCTGGATGGCTGCTGTAGCACCAGGAAATCCCTTCGAATAATGCTTTGGATAGATGTAAAATGTAATTTCCCTTTTTAAAAAATACTGTTAGATTTCCTGATAGCATCCCTCCGGAGCAATAAAAATTAGATTTTTTTTAAACTAGTGCTCTCGTAAACTAAACCTGTTGCTAGTCTGGTGATGACTCGCCACATTTTACCATCATCATTTAGAAGCTTTGGTACGGAGAATTAGAAAAGAATGATAATATTGAAAAGCTGCTCGATGCGACTCGTTTCGTCAGCTCTGGTCATGAATAGTTAGCGTGCTATGATAAAAAAAAACATTTGCAATGCCAAAATATGTGCAGGGGCGCGTCCAGAAAGTTTTCAAAGGGGTGGCCAAATGGGGGGCCGCCGTTAGTCTTGGATTGGCGCACCAAAAAAACAAAAAACATGAGAGGATTTTAGTTTTATTCTGCCGTTATCATGTTGGAAATAAAGAATCACCTTCAGATACAGGTTTGTTTTTATTTTGTACTTTACTCTTGATATTACTGGGAACAGAACGACTCAACACACGAGCTGCCCTCCCTCTTTTTAAACGCATATTCATAAATTAAACTAGCATTTCTTGTAAGAAGGCATGATTCATTCAACCTTTATTTATATAGGTTAATCCCATTGAGCCTCGGGGACTCATTTACAAGAGAGGCCTGGTTTTAACAAAGAGTGAACAACAAAGACAACAATAGACCATCATTAAGGATGCACACAAGTTGCATGCCAAAGTTTATTAATTAAAATAATTAAAGGATACGTACAAATTGCCTTAAATGTCAAAGTTTAAAACCAGAATCTCACTTATGTCAGAGCTTGCAGTATATGTTGGGGATGACTCTCAACTACTACCACACCAAATCTCAACTGTTTGTAAAATAAAGCGAGGCTTCTTCTAAGGAACACTTTGCTGCGACAACCATCTTGAACCGGGTTCAGTTCAAACGTCGATAAGATGCAAACGTACATTCAGTAATTACTCCCAGAAAGCTTCTTTAAAATCTATGCAGTCGTTCATGATATTTTGCTAACAATATATAATGGATTTTAGACCTGCTGGCCAGGGGGGCTAGTGGGGGTGCTGCTTCAATGATAGATTCAACGCTATACATAAAATAAGAGGATTAGGGCATCGACTTAAAAAGAAATTAGCATGCGCTAACACATGTTCGCCTTCATAAAACACCAAATTGTAATTTTATATTTTTACCGTTTGTGAAGGAAAAACAAACGTCGTGTGGAACAGTAACTTATTAAAAGCAGTTTTTTCCCCCTTTCCTAAATAAAACCTCCTTTTTGTAAACTATTAAAAGTTTTACAATTTGTCAAAAGCCAAAACTTATATATATATATATAAACCAACAAACAAGCCATTTGTTTTCACATAACCACATTTATCACACCTCTAAAGCTCTGCTGTTTAATTACCAATAAAGAGAATCTTCAAGTCAGAGCCAATAAAAGCTCCTCCGGGGCTTTTAAAACCAAAAAATGTGGCGATGCTTGCTTCGTGGTCTTCAGGGACAGAGCAGCTTGTGATCATTCATTCTACATCTTCTCCAAAAATCCCGAAAGCTAAAGTAAGACCATCTGGTCTGAGCTGGAAGCGCGTCTTTCAGCAGAATAATGATCCTTGTTAAATTAGCAAACCCACCAAGGAATGGTACAAAGTGGGGAAATGAAAGTTATCTTTGGTTTTACATCCATAACTGCTTAACTGATCCCCATCTCTTAGAAATAAATCTTACTGGAAGAGGTTTGAATGAGCAGATCATATGGGAAAAACCTGGTCGCAACTTGAAAATTACCGGTAAGTAGAAAGGTCAAAAACTTTTGAAAGCGGACTTTGTAAAGTGCTGTCTAATAATAAAAACAAACCATTGTGTCCAATAAAGGCCTGACCTCTGAGCTGAATGTTAGACTGACCTTTTCTACCCTTTTATTTTGATGAATTACCAACCGAAGAGTTTGTTTTCAAACAGATCTAAATCATTGTTTTAAGTGTTTACTTGTCTAAATCAATGGTTCCCAACTCTGGTCCCTGAGGAACACCACCCTGCATGTTTTAGCCGTTTCCCTGATTCCACTTGATTCAGTGATTTAATTACTTCCTCAAGTTCTGCTGAAGCCTGTTAATCACCAAATCATTCAAATCATGCGTGTCAAAGCAGGGCAACAGCTAAAACATGCAGGATGGTGTTCCTCAGGGACCACGGTTGGGAACCACTAATGAACAAACGATAGTTGCACGTTATTGTTTTTAAAATGCTGGGACACTGTAAATAAAACAAAGGACAAAGTGATTCGCGCACCAAAGAACTCACAATATCTCCAAAACATTTAGCTTTTATAAGCTCAATATAAAGTCTGTAAAGGTCAAGAACCGGTAAACTAATGTAAACAAATAAGCTGTAAATTAATCTTGTAAATTACTTGAGCAAAACTCCACGAAACACAAAGAATACAGAATTGTTTATGTGAACATGTTTACAGATACAAGGGGAGTGGTGGCGCAGAGGTTAGAGAAGGAGGGCTTGCGATCTGAAGGTTGCCGGTTCAACTCCCCGGACCAACAACATCAAAATGTGAGAGGGAAAGGTGAAACACCCACACCTGTCTCCACCCTCGTTTGCCCCACTCTGGGCCCTTAAGCAAGGCCCTCAACCCCCACCATCTGCTCCCCCGGGCACCCTAGATGGCAGCTCTCTGCTCCACACAGAGGGCGGTGGTAGCTCGGTGGTCTGCGGTTGCGTCAGGAAGGACATCCGGCGTAAAAACAAATGCCAAGTATTTGTGTGACTTCATTCACTGTGACTTAGACTTCTTCCCTGAAGAAAGGAGCAGTCGAAAGAAGAAGAAAAAAGTATACTGTGATATATATCGATATATCGATATCGATATATATCACGATATACTTTTATTCAATAATGGTGATACGAGTTTTAAGCACATTTTCGATATTTTGAGATGATTACAGCATTTCACTGACACGTTTCTTTTTCTGTTCGGGTTGAAGCGGCCGCTTCGGTTTCAACCCGGACAGAAAACGCCGCGACACAACTACGTAAGTGCGTGTTGACGTACACCACAGTTCGAAGGAGTCAGCTGTAGCAGGCTAGGCTAGGCTCCAATGCGCTGTAAGTTTTCGCTTCAAAATGAGTGCCCATGACCGTCAGAATGTGACTGAACGAGCTTTCATACGGGAAGAGAAAGCGGATGACATAACTGATAAGAGAGGAAAGACTAATTCGGCTGTGGAAGTGGTTCGGCTTTCTAAGATCCGATGAACTGCAGGTTGCCTGAGAGTCGTTCAAACTAGCGGTGGGAACACATCGAACTTGTTCCACGTTTCCACTCGATAGAAGACGCTGAGGGTCAGAAGATGAAGCACAATAAAAGTTTGAGCCAACGTGTCCCTGAAACAACACCCCCAACTGCAACCCATGTTATGTTGTTTAAAGTTAAAACTATTAATATTGACAAAGTTGAGAGTTTTATGTTTATTTGACGGTGATTTCAAATTTCTTTGAAGGCTAAATACAAATAAAAGGTGAACATTAATTTATTTGTACAGTTTGTCCGAGGTTCTTATATTGTTTATATCGATATCGGAATTATATCGTTATATCGATATCGGAATTATATCGTTATCGACCGAAATTAAGCAATATATCGTGATAAAAGTTGTGGCCATATCGTCCAGCCCTAGTTTACAGATACAAAGGTGGAAACTCCAAATAAATATGGCTTCAGGTCAGGAGGACTTTGGACCATCAGACAACAAATCACTCTTTGTGTTCTGGTGCAAATCGTCATTAAAAACATGCCAAAATCTGTCTGTGGATCTGAATTCATCATCTAGAATACTGTGCAAGAATAATGAACAGCAGACGTACGGGGTTAAGTGCCAAACATACACAACCAAAGAGCTCGTTTACGAAATGTTAAGAATGTGCAAACATGAAGCCAAATGTGGGGCTGCGACGCTGGAGCTGCGAGACCCGAACAGAACGACCCGTCCGAGTCCCATGTCTGGCACTGCCTCGCAGGCCGACGAGCTGTAACCGAAGGAAACCAGAAGCTCTAACAGACGAGGGGTGGGGGGTCTGAGAGCCACAATCATGCTTACGTAACCCGCACACGTGCACACACTCATGCGTGGCCATGTTCCTGCCAAAACGCTCTTTTTGGACTGTTTATTTGGATACAGGAAAAGGGCAAGGCTTCATTGTGCACAAAGGGGAAGTTGGTGACCCTGAACCGGGGAGGTGTGTCCCCCCCGCAGCACACGAGGCTCGGTGGCTCGCCACTGCTCCGACGTCACCTCAGACATGAACAGGAAAACACAGGAACTGATAGAGAGCTAAACTGAGCCCTGTTGTGTGCAGGAAAAAGGTTTCGGCTACACGACGGCTATCAGATGACAAAACATGACAACGTTCCTGTATGAGTCATTCGGAGAAAGAATGAGTCTTTTCTGTAATCACTGGGGGGGGGGGGGGGGGGGATTAAATCTTATGAATCCTTCATG